TGGGGATTACAGGCTAAAACATCTGGAGATCAATAAATTCCTCATCCCTGTTTTAGACACTAATTTCCTATTCTATCCAAGTCAAACCTAGATATCTACAACAGTGTCTCTGTGAAGAAAAGCCATCAGCACATTGGTGTAGAATGGGATTCTAGTGTGGCACGGATAGTAAGATCAGTCCTAAACAAGAAATATAACTGAAGCACAGTGGAAAAGTACACATGCTTTGCCTGGGCTCTATTGCTTGGCATTTCAGGAGGCAGTAAAGATCTCATATGGCCAGGAAGGCTATACGTGGAGAGAACATAATCTGAGACCCTGGAGAGTTGCTGTTAGTCAAAACAGACAACACTGGTCTGAGTCAGGGAATCCATCTTCATACACTCAACCGGGATCCATCACCTCACCTACCATTCACAGAAAAACAAGTCAGCAAGGAAAACTGTTTCTCTGTGTAAGTACCATTTAAGGCCAGGAGAGACAAAAGATGTAGCTTTAGCAAGATGTAAGTTACAATGTGAGTCTACAAGAGCTGAGCAGGGCTGCGAAGGACAGGACATGTTGGAAGGCATTCATTCATATGGCTACTATAAATTGCAGATGACGTGATGGAAGATCACGATCACCACAACAAGTTATAATGGCTACTACTACCCAAGCTTTAGCTAGCTTTAAATCACCAATAGGCAAAAGCAGCATTTGGGATGGCATGGGACCTGCAACTTCTCTGCTTGTCTTCCTTTCCCCTCAAGTTTCCTATCTCAGCAACCACTTCATTCCTGCTTGATAACAGCATAATGACTTCATACAGTCAGTCCAGAATGTTCTAGAACTGCTAGCATAGTGCATGAGAATATGGCTGCACTGCATATCTAGATGGTTTTGCTGCACCCTTGAGATTAAACCCTTTCCAAACAAAATCCTAGGAACTGCATTTCTGTACACACATTAGAGTCTCAAACAGTTAGCGCTTGTGAAACTTCACGTGGAGAAAGCCATGATACTCGCGGGAGAAGCCAGGAATGGCACTGGAATCAAGGTAGAGAAGTACTACTACAGGCCAGGAGAGACAAAAGATGAGTGTTAGGGAAGGCTAGGGAAGAGAGGCAAGTGTCAACAATGCCTCCGGAAAGGAAGAACAGCAGTAGCATAGATATACTGTCACTGGAAGGAAGTTAGCACCTATACAGCTGCAGATCTCCTGGACATCTCTTGCAAGGCAGCCACCTTGCTGAAGCTATGCAGGTCTGGATCTGGTCAATACTAGCAGAGGAGATCACCAAGGAACTCCATGATGTCATGGGGAAGCAAATGTAATAAATAAATAAATAAATAAATAAATAAATAAATCCCATGGTGGATACACTTTCAGGTATTTCATATGAATCACTGAATATCAGACAGGCAGCTGCAGTGAATTGGGTTCACATTGAATCCAGCAATATTTAACGCCATTTAAATGCATCATCCTAATCCTCGTCCAAAGACTATGTGGTTATAACTTTGTTTTTGAAAGAAGAGATTTGTCTTCAGCATGGTATTGCCAACAAACCCTTGACAGTAGGAAGAATAGGTTTGTGTGTGAGGGAGGAAGGGGTCTGGTTTTGACTGGAATCCTATTAATTGCACTTATTTACAGAAAGCAAGCATGCAACCCACTTTTGCATATCATGCTCTGTACATTATTGTATAAAAAGAGAACTTATCCTATGCTATCATCAAAACCCATAGAGGTTCATCCTAACAAAGGGAAGAAAATACTTCAGTATGTCATCTTGTCTATTAGCGCCACGTGATTTCAGGCAATAATTTTGACATCATTATTTGTATTTAGTTTGTGTTAATTGCACACAAGCATTTTGCACTCCAGATGCATGCAGAGCCATACAATTAACTCAAAGAGCATCCATATCAACCAGTCCTAACAAAAGTTACAGATACAAAGTATTAGTCATTTGGCCATCAGTACATATAGTTTGTATTTTGGATTCCTATTGTTTTACCTTGAGCAAAAATTAAATTTTGACCATGTGGAAAATGTTTACTCTTTAAAAAAGGAAAACCCTATAGGAAAATAAGCTACATTTGTCACAGCAATATCTTTTATAGAAACAAAGCACTAGAAAGAAAAGAAAAATTGAAAGGGCACATTATAAAAGTAAACCTGAATTTTTCAGTTTGTTTACAAGTCAAGGAAATAATGAATAGTGTATGTGGGTATATATGGTCATGGAAACAACAGTCCAAGTCACTACTGATTTTTCATATTTTGTTGTTGCTATTAAGGAGCCAAAGATGCTATTTAAAATTTTGAATTTTAAGAATCCTTATTTTAATAGTTTTAATCCTTTATTTTAATCTGACTCCAGTATAATTAACCCAGATCTAAAACAAATTAATCTTATTCAATAAGATATAATAACGAATTTGAAATAGATCCAGATTCTTTGATATTGGATCACATTAGATAAAACAGATTAGTGATGAGAATGATAAACATTAATGAAATTAAATGAAATAGGAAGCACGCTCTTTGTCATGTAATAAAATAATTACAGATCTCTGAAATTTCAAACACTAAAACAAAAAAGTGTATCATCTGCTTACAGTTTGTGAAAAAGTGGGCAAAAATCATTCCCTTTTAAGGGAGTTAAGTGCTATAAATACACCCATACAAATGTAGCAGTATGTTCTACTGTAACTTTAAAAGAAGTGTAGGTAATTTGTATGCAGGCAGTTATTTTGCTGGCTCTCATTTTTATCACATGTCTAATGTTATTTATTGTTTGTCCTCTATTTGTAATTTCCAGTCATTTTGATGAGGTGAGAACCTCAGCTTTCTGCTTTTGACATTAATGTACAAATCAGTTTCTGGGAAATGAGCAACGAAGAATTTAAAGGCAAGAAGAGATAGGGAAATTTCAAGAGCTGCATTTTTGGCTATTTTCCCCCTATTTCCACCTAATCTTTTGAAATTTTTTGAACGCAGGTTTCATTTGGACTGAAATGCAGAATACTAAAATAGTGTGATTCATTTCAAAATGATGAAATACCGCCTTTTAGGAAAAATATTAATGAATGTGACAATAAGACTGAGAACTGAGTCTCAAAAATTATATAGCAAGGTCAAATTATTCACCCTGCTCTTTTTTAGCAGTTTTGGGAGGATTTGGGTGTTCTCTCACACACACTTTCTCTCTTTTTAACCAAGTTTTGCTACTGCTTCAAAGGTATAAGGAGGCAAAGTTGCAATGAACAGCTTGTCAGGAATCTTCAGTCCCATGAATGCCTCAAATGAAACAATGCTGCAGCTGCACATCTACGAAGCAGCTGCTAAGGCATCAGCTCTGGCTTCACACAGCAGAGGACATGCTGAAAACAAAGTACACTGTATTAAAGGCAGTCCTTTCCAGGCTGCTGCAGCGTCTAACTGGGGATGGACGTTGCGGGTGTACCTTCCTGGTGGACAAGAGCTCCACCAGTGGGGAGGTGGAATGGGACACATAAGAAAGAGGTCTCCGGTACACCTCTGGATATGTCCATAGGCAAAATTTTTACCAGTGGCTGTAGGAGTTAGGCCCTGAAATGGAGTGTTTCAGGAGCAGGGTGGATGTGGCCTCTCTCACTGGGAAGGCCCCAGAATTGGGCCCTCCCACTATGGCAGCCTCCACCCACTGGACCTTGTGGAGGAGAGGGAGAGAAAAGAAGACTTGGATTCACGCAGGGAATGTAAGGGCACAAGTGAAAAAAGCATGAGAAGAGGTCAACTTTTATGACTCTTTGCAAACGCTTTGTCCCCTGCTGCCATTCTGTATGGAAGGCCCCCCCCCCCCCCAGCCCCCCGGAAGAAGCATCATCTCTGCTTAGCTTGAAAGAAAGGTGGAAATATACTTTTTCAACTTATAAAACAGTTGCACCTGCACCTGAAGCTAGGCTTTTGAAGTATGTGCTTCTTCTTGCCAAAGGATCCTGCTTCTGGAGCTATCCAAGACATATTCAAGATCACAATTTCTGTCCATTTCGTTCTGCTAAGCTAAATAGCAGCACGTTCCAAATGTCAATTGTGACCTCTACAAGGAGGGGAAATCCCCCTGGTTTGAACAAGCTCATTCCATCACATGCCTTCTGCTTATGTTATGCTATTCGAATGCAAAGACCCTCCATACACTTTCAAAAAACTCAAGAGGTAGGGTAGGTCACAGCACCTACAGGTGATTAAGCCCCATACCACCTCCGCAGTTAGTGGCTCTATGCCCATAACGACACACACACGGACGTGAGGGGAGCAGGCAGCATCCTGAGGCAAGGAAGATCCACAGTAGCATGGAGAAGCACGAAGTAAACTTGAGGAAGAGCTGTACCCCCTTGATCTGACAGTATGAATAGCTTCTTCCCATTCACCTTTTCTCTTTCAGTAATTTATGGTTTTTACTCTCTTCTGGTGTCCCTACACAGCAATCCATTATAGCAGATTAAGTTTCCAGAAAATAGAATAGAAGCAATTTGTTAAATTTAGCCAAGAAAGTCATGTACTCTTGGCAGGATTGTTTTTAAATATTGTGAGCAAATCCAAGGAAGCTGGCCATTCCTAAACTCCCCTCGAATCTATCAGAGTCTATCCATAAGTTTTTCTGGAATGTATCTGTTCTTTGTATCCCTGGACAGAAATTCTTACATTTATTAAGGACGGAATAAAAATGCTCCAAAACAGAATGGTAATAAAACTCTGAGAGCCAGCAATTCTGGATGTATTGATATGTTAGTGTGTCACAGAAGCATAGTGGATGGAGGATCAAGGTGCAACCTTTCCACCGACCAGGTGAGTACTGGCACTGCCAGCATAGCATGTTTTAAGAAAACAGAACGATATTTTAAACGCTTGCAGATAACATTCCTAGAATTCTGAATAACAAATGGGTAAACACAAATGAGGCATCAAGTTCCATGTACCGACATGCCTCCCCCCCACTGCACAAGCACCCCACCTTCGCTGCACTCACCAGTTGGAACTTCTGTCCCCTCCTCAATGTGGATGGGCAGTGCTGGTTCCTCCATAGGGTGAGGCGCTGATAGAAAGTAATGAATGATGGTAGTATTTGTCGGAAAATGATCACAGGAAGATGGTACCTTCTTAGCATCACAGTTACAAACGAGACTGGAGATGGCAATGAAAAATCTAGTTTTCTTCCCCCAAGGCGTTTTTACTAAAATATTCCTTATGTTTCACTATACTTGAAGATACAATACTGAGAACATCAATCTCTGAGATGGAAATAATCCATTTCCATTATTTTTGGGAAACAGGGCCACAACTGCTTTTAGAAACATTTCTGTTAAAGAGCTATACATTACTTCCTCAAAATTAACATTGCCAAAGAAGAGTTTGTTTTGTAAGGTAAAATCAGCATCATATAATAATAATCCTAAAAACTGAATAGCTTTCCAAAATAATGTACAAAACATGAAACATGTTAACATATTTGACAATACTCCCTGTTCAACTCTCTGGAGCTCCCTTCTTAAAATCTATATTCACAAATCAGAGTACTATGCTACCTACATTAATGGAATTATGAGCAGAGAGAAAATTTTACACCCAAAGTTTGCCATCCCAGGTTATAAGAATGCAGAAAAGATGTACCATTTTAGTTTCCATATGCTGTATGACTGTCTGCTGTCTGACACAGCAAGCAGTAAGGGCTCATATTGTATGTGCAGTATGGAGCCCAGAATTTATAAATATATAGAATAAACATGTGTGCAGTGGAGACCTTTCATTATTTTTGCATGCATTGGTTCTAGTTTTGTACTGTTTTGCTTTGCCCCACTCCCTTTTCCTACGTGTAGACAGTGCAAAGAATTTGCAGAGTTGTGGTGGTGGCGATGTGTTACCAGCATGTACATCCCAATAAACATCCAAATGCAACTGCTGCCCATATGCTTTGTATTGCTTTCATATACTCACTTCCATGTACACCCAATGCATATTCCAATGTATTTAATTATGGGAATTCAACTGAAAGCGATACAGGACAGACAAGCAGCGGTGCCCTCACTTAGTTGTATATCTGGATGCTTATGTATCTCCTTTGCAACTGGGCTCACCCAATCACAGATGCAAATAAGTCATAGTGATTTATTTCCTTCCCTCATATGCCTGTTGTGAGCCCACCTAGTTAGCATAATTGCTATCACAGGAAGCAGGTTGGTGTGATATCCAGACCCACTGAGTGCGGCTGGATGGAGTGTTTTGGAAACCCCCAAACCCATGGCTTGTTTCAGGGTGGTTTGCATACCACCCCATCCGCACACTCTCACTGGGTTCAGATATCACAACTACCTTCACTCAGCAAGAACAATTATGCATATCAGGCATGAGCAGGCAAAGACAATAAACCACCATGGCTTATTTTGCCTCCCTGATCATGCAAACCCACCCTCTCTCTGCCTTGCAGGTGAACAAGTACTTACAAGCGAAAGGCTGGACATTCCCCCAGACCCATCTCCCGCAGGCCATAATCCAATTGTAAGAAGAGGAAACTTTTGCTATTTTAGTTTAAATAGTCTGAGGATATGACTGGGCTCGAAAATAGTTGAAAATGCCATGAGGATATGACTGGGCTCTTGGCACCTCCAGGTTCCAAGAGCTCATGTCTGTGGGATGAGCTAGGGTGCCTTATCTCAAGGTAGCTGGGACAGTGACGATGCACATCCACAGCCTCCAGTCAAGTCTTTGAGGTCTGGAGAGGAGTGAGTGCGTGCTTAAAAGAAACAAAACAATTTTGTTCGGGGCCCTTCTGTAGGAATTAACTCCAAAGCTTGGTCAGCGTTGTCACCAAGCCACACAGAGCATACCCCCAGTCCAGCACAGGCATTGAGACCATTATAAAAATACATCTCACATAAGGCCATTCAGAAATTTGTCTCTTGATCCCAGCAGCCATGCGGACAGGCCATGCACTTTCTGAGGTGGTATATCAGAACACCCAGCGTGACCAACCACCTGAGGTCCCATGTTATCTTTCCACCTGCTTTCCTGCGGTCGCCTGCTCTTTTGGGGACAGTCTGCTCACAGAAGCTAGCCCTTGCCATGCAGGCAGCACAGAGAGGGTTTTACTGCTGCTAACCTGGACCAGAGGATACCCTCTCCTCCTGCACAAAGTGAGCCAGTTTCAGGATGGCTGGGGAGAAAGAATGGTTCTCCCCCATCTTTTCCATCCTCCAGGCTTCACACTCAGCAAAGAAACAAGAGCACTGGCCCATCCTTTAATGGCTCAGTGGCAATAGTGGCTCAGAGGGCAGTGCAAGGACAAAAGGGGAATGATTCTGCTAACACACCTATCCACCCATGATGCTGGAAGGGTGCACAGTCGGAGGGCTTTCAACTAGCTGCATTCTGGAATACTCCATCAGGGAACTGAGTGAGCCAACCAGGGTGGAAGCAGTGTGACGGTTTCCATCAGCCAGTGAAGGACAGCAGCTGCACTAGGAATCCCCTGACCCCTTCTCTTCCAACTGATGTACATGCCGTGATTGCTAGATAAGGGCAACACACTGGAAATGTGTTCCTATGTGTGTAGTGCACAGAGAAGTGCTGCTGGCTCCCCGAGTACAATCCTTGACAACTGCTATGGACCACAGATACTGAGCAAGGAACCACGGGTGGACAGAACGTCCTTTTCCCCTCATTCCTCTGCCTCGAGGCCCATTATCCAGCCTCTGGTCACTCACTCCCTTCACAGTGCTATTTGCCATCCAGGCTATCAGCTGTACCAGGCTACAACGACCTTAGATCAAGTGCTGGCAGGGAGAGGGTCAATTCGCACACTATCTCCATGAGGTCAATCAGTTGGAACCAGTGGGCCCCTATTCATGCTGCCAGCCAGAAGATGGCACATGCAAATGAACGGAGCACCACACTCACAGGAAATAGCACAAAAAGGGTGTGTGCGGTCCATTTCTTTAGTTTGGCTTAGTGAGCCAGGTTGTCTGGTTGGCCTGCAACAACCTTCCTCAACATGGTGTCCGCCATATGGGGCAGACTACAATTCCCTGCAACCTCCATGCAGGCTGGGGACTACAGGAGCTTTAGTCCAACACATCTGGAGGGGACCAGTTTGGGAAGAGTTGCCCTTGCCTGTGGTATGACTGACTGTATTTCTCAAGAGACAAGGGACTGCTATCTCCTCTACACACTGGGAGAGCTGGGAGGGGAATCCGTTGCAAAAGGAGAAATGTCTTTGGCACCTCCTCTCCCATCATAATGTTTTGCAGCTCCCTGCACAAATTGTCCTATTTTAAAAGGAGAATAGGGTTAAAAGAAAGGGAAATTTGCAAACAAATTTGCCTGTACAAATGGATGTACTGAGAAATAATTATGTGTAGAGGGTACACTGTACACACTCCTTTTCTTCTAAAAGTTCGGCTAATAGTTCAGCAAAGACACATGTTACCACATAGATTTTTGCTACATTTGAGCTAGTTATTAGAATTATAGTTAAATTTTAAAAATAGAAGTGCTTTATTTTACTAGACATTTGCCCAGTGCTACTGTCCCAGGGCTTTCCATCAAAGTTAGGCACAGTGTATGCCCAGAATGTGATGTAAAACAAACGCCATACCACAAAACAATGCCATAGTTTTCCTCTCCAAGCACATTGACATTTTCAAAGCAATATTTGTAACACTGTATTTTCAAAATATACTTAGAACTACATGAAGCTCTGTCTTTCTAGAATGTACACATTTATGAGCTTCCGAACACAAAGGCGATGGTCCACAAAACTGTGCAATTAGTTCAGTGTGCCTAAGGGCTCCTTGGCATCCATGACGCATGCTGAAAGCCTTTGGAATCTGAAGGGAAATTCAAAACCCCTCTACTGAGATGTGGCAATTATTGTTTAAAGGATGGGGAGGCCAGAACCCCCGTGGGTGCAGGATCACTTAAAGGTGCTCTTTCCTATCATCCAAAGCAAGCCAAGTCTAAGGGCAGTGCGTTAAAAAAACAACATCACTTTTTCCTCTGTTTCCCATTTCTTTTTCCTTCTGTGCTATTTTCTTTCAGCTGGTAAAAAAGCAGGGGCTGCCTTTTTTATTATTTTTGATCTGTGAGCTGCTCTGGGAGTTTTTCTGATTGAAGAGAGGGGTAAAAAAAGCTTTAATAGAGAAAGACTATTTAGCATAGCTTGGTGTTTCAGTTATAAAAAGTAAAATGCAAAGGCCACATGAACCACTGAGAGCTGCTGGAACTAGCTCTCTAGCACAACCTTGTGGTTGGACTCTTGCTAATCCGCTCAGGGTGAGGCACTGCTCCGTCGACATGAACAATCTGCCAGACCTTAAGCAGCACCGCAATGCCCTGCCACGACACATGCATCAGGAGACTGGCTCTTGCTTCTGCATTTGGGCTGGGCCTGGTGGCTGGTAAATATTTACACTTATCTTCAAGGCTGTTTACAAGCAGTGCAAGGGATCGCAGAAAGAGCCTGAAATATAAATACTACCTGAGGCCACAAACCTACATAAACATGCACACAACTCTGCAACTAGTGACTTGGATTATTTGTAGTAGAATCCAAGAAAAACAAAGCGAATTTTACCATAGGACTGGCAGCAGGGAAAACTACACGAAGCTCTTACACTGAGTTGTTCTATGGCTTTGGATGAACCACTTACATTGCAATTCAAAGCATGTTTACTCAGAAATAAGTCCCACCGAGGTCAGTAGGACTTACTTTCTTGCAAGAGTACTTAGGATTGCAGCCTTTCAGCACAAGCATCTGCACGTCTACTGAGGAATATGTCTCACTGAGTTTACTGGAGCTTACAGATGTAAGTGTACTTACAGACTACCGCCTTAATGGCTCTTCCACACCTTCTGTTTCTAAAATGGGGGCAACAGCACTTACCAATATGGTTGTATGAAGCTGATGCTCTATCAGCCTAGAGACTCAAGTCAGAAGTTGTTGTTACTGTTGTTGCTGCTATTGTCAGTTATGGCTAGACTGGGGCAAAGGGCTCTGTCTCAGTTTCAGTTCTGTAGAACAGCAAAGCAGGAACCCCACTTCACTTTCTTACCAAGAGCGAATGCAAGACAAAGCACTGATCCAGCAAGTGGTGATCTGTGCACATTTTCTGATCACAAATCACTGCAGACAAGGGCAAAGGGAAGTTGTTCCAAGAGGAAGTAGATAACCAGCAGCTCCAACTGCATGTGCAATTCTAGCCCTCATCCTAAATCTGCAAGTGCAGGATCAAGGCCTCTATGATGGCAAAAGCTAGAACAGCATATTCCCATAAGCATAATATCAACAACAACAAACAACAAATCACGGTAAATTGTTAAGTGCTCATTGCTGCATAACTGTAGCTTACATTCTGCAAGAAGTTTATTCTCTTTCTATGAGCAAATGGAAAACATTTGGATTCTGAGCATTTGGGTTGCACTGCTAATATTTTGCTATTTGCATTAACAAGCATAAGTAACACTTACATGAAGAAGAGTCTCTCCAGAATGGATTTTCTCTTCCTGTTTCAGAAAAAGAAAAAAAAAGTAAAATAAAATAAAATAAAACAAACAAAATAAAAAATAAAATAAAATGAACAAAATAAAATATGCTAATGGAGAAAAAATATAAACATAATCCTGCTAGAGAAAGAGAGGCCAGAAATGTTTTAACTCAAGATAACAGACTCCGTTATCAAGCAACAGTTTCCCTCCAATTTTCCATTTTCATCTGTAATGTAAAGTGTCACCTCTCAAAAATAAACAGATCACAAGGTAACATGTTTGAGTAAATAGCAAAGCACCAACATCATTTTACCTCTCTCTTGCCTCTGCTTCGTGATCACTGTCTAGATCATTGTCTAGGATCCGCATTATATACCTGCCCTTTTCTAGCACTGAAAAGTCGCAGGGAACTATAGCAAGGACTCTGAACTTTTCAAACTTGGCCATGAAAAGCTGGAAATCAGCTTAACAACATAGGAAGTGGCCTTATACCGGGTCACTTTGTCCATTTCGCGCAGTATTATCTATTCTGAGTGGCAGTGGTTCTTTAGAGCCTCAGACAGAAGTCCTTCACGTCACTTTGTGCCAGGTCCCTCTAAAGCTAGAGATGCCAGGCTCTGAACTTGAGACAAAAGTATGCGCCCTGGTACTGAAGCGTGGTTCTGTCTTTTAGCCCATGCTAAAGCCTCACTTAAACAAGACTGAGAAGTCATAGAATCTGGACTGCCAGGATGAGTGGATTAGTAGGTGAGACAGGAAGGATTTATATTGCTTGACCCATTAAGCTGCGATGGTGTCCTTACTGGGAGCAGGAAATGTCTGTAATGGTGCTTGACTTCCATGTTAGACCAGACTAAGCCAATGCTCCCTCTCCAGCAGCATATTATAGAAATGTTAGAAATGTAATAATAATAATAATAATAATAATAATAATAATAATAATAATAATAATATTCCACTGCTCTTCTGCAGGGTTGGGTCAGGGCTCCAAGTATGCGATGCTTGAGAAGAAGGCGGAAATTGAGGTCAAAGAGTGAGGACTAGTGTGTTTCCTGAGGCACCAGCTTTCTCTTAAGGCTTCTGTAGTCTGCCACTACACCATCACAGGTTCTGTTGTGGCCCTAAGTCCTTCCAACAGCCTCAAGTCTCATCTGCCGGCCTAAGTTCATTACCTATGGCACACTCTCATGCACGCCTGCATTGTAGCAGAAAACGCAGCACAGTGCTTTTGGTTTTCCTAGGTGTTGCATGGTTACCAAATCGGACCATACTGTCTGAGCAACCTGGGGTGTCTCCAGTGAGAACCTGCGCTGCACTGCAAGCGATGGGAACAAAACAGGCCAGAAGCAAGAGCCCGTTTCTGAAAATGAGCTTCCTAGGTAGCTTCTATTTGGATAAACATCACTATAGCACTTCCTGGGCAGGATGTTGTGGTAGTGGAGCTTGAGTAAGTCATTTCTGTAGTTCTCTGAGACAGAACTGCTAATTTCAATTGTGCGGTCTACCTGCTACATGTGAGCAAAAGTCTGGCTTGAATACATGCAGAATTGCTTTAAAATAGATTTGCACCAGCTTTGAACAAAGTCCAGTTCAACACTCCAGTTAAAAAATAGAGACTTTTGCTGTGCAAATCAGCCTAAAACTAAAATATTTTATACTGGCTGCTGCTAACTGCATGTGACACAAAAACACCCACTTCCTTTTTTGTCAGGAAAGGATATATATTTCTGAAAACGCATAGTTATTTTAAATACAGCTTCACCTGTTTAAATCCAGAATTGTTGAAATAAACTTGGTAGTGCATATAAAACTGATAATATTAACACAATGGTGTTTCATAAAAGAGCCAACTGAGCTTGGCTTCTTACTTTATGAATATTTAAAAACACTGGCACCAACCCTGTTGGCATTTTTCTTATCTTTCCGGAAGCTATTCCTCTTAAAATATTTTGAGCCCTAAGGTGTTGCATCTCTCTCTGAACGAACTCTGGATTGCTACGTATTACCCGCCTGCTATGATAAAACAATGGTGGTGAAGTTGATAAAACTAAATAACAGCAGTATTTTACATACATATATAATGCTGTAATACAAATAGTTCGTGCTATTCCCTCTTGCTTACTAAGCTATCTTGACCTATCTTTTTTGGAGAATTAGAGGCCTAAACTCCCACTATTCAAGAGCCAGCTGTGCCTAAACTTGCATAGGTTTGCACCCTAAGATGTGTAGACTATGAATTCTACACCAGAGAAGAATCCCCTGAGCAACATACAAGAGAGCAAAAACGATGGGAGGCAATCTGCATGCAGTCTTGCTGACCAGTGGTGAACGTACAACCGTTGTTTCTACTGAAATCAACAAGCCAACACTGTCCCATAACTAAATCCACTCAAAAAGTCAGTTTCCAAACCCCTATTTTATTCAAAGGTTCACTAAAGGATACAACTTAGCATAGTTGTCATTGTTTTTCAAATGTATCTGTTTCTCCAAAATGTTATTTAACATAGTTATTTGGTATCTATGTGTGCTACACCAGTTTAAAGCAAGTAAAAGAATCAACATGGTTTCCATAGCAAATCAGGGAAGCTTCATTACCCTGAACACTTTGCCACTTGCAAGGAGCAATCAATAGGTTACGCTCCCTTTGATATATTCTGCTAAAGAAAGTGGCACATCTGTGCACTGAGCCAACCTTTAATACTTTCACTCCAAGGGAAGTGGCCACCTGTGTATCTGCTTCACACGTTACACATTGGCTAATGAATGGCTAACATCATACATGTTGGATAAATCCTATTCAATTCCCTATCCCTGGTGCAGAAGTCTCTGTAAAAATACTAGGAATTAGCCCTCAGCACCAGCAGATGTTGGTGGACTCTGCCTGAACCATTAGAGAAGGTCCTGTTTACAGTAGGGAAAGGGCACACATCCAGCACTTCTGCAAACAAACGGGGGCTTTTGTTCTTAAGCAAGCAGCCTCTGTGAAGCGGGTTTACATTCGTGGCATCTACAAAACCAAGGGACAATTCCTGGATTGAGACATACAAGTTGGATACAGGAAGCTAAGTCCAGATAAAGCCAGGTGTGTGTGATTGGGCTTAAATTTGCCAAAAGGCCACATCTTCAGTCACTGTTGGGAGAGACTGGTCCACCATGCTTGAGCCTGCAGCAGAGCTGGAACACTCTGAAAGTACGAGGGAAATGACCAGAGCTTAAATGCATGCATAGATGGTGCTGCTGCTAATTGCTGTTATTTGAACTGTAATCAAATATACACTATGGGTACTGCTGGAGACTTGCATATGGCCTTAAGGTTCATCTGAAGCATAATCAGCAGGAAAGAAGCTGGTTAGCAAGGCCCTTTTGTACAGCCCAGTAGCTCTTGCTAGAACATCCCCCCCCCCCCCCCCCCCCCACTATTCCACAAGCAGCTTTCATGTCCACTGCCGGTGCAGTCAGTGGCTAAAGTGTTGGGTTTTGGGATTTGACACAGGTTCAAATCACTGCTGACATGATGCCTAGAAGTCTTAGCCTTACCTGCGCCAGTGATGGAGAAGATAAATAGATGGCATAAGAACTGCTAGTGTTGTGCAGAATTATGCAGAAATTCTAGTCAAGATGTTTTCAGTGATATTTGAAAATGTCATCATACATGCATGTTGGCTAAAGAAGCAGACAGGTGTGCTACCCAGAGTCAAGCCCTACCATTAGGCAGGATGAGGTGATCACCTCGATGATGGGAGGTGGCACCAAGGTGCTACAGGCGGGAGCTGTGTATTGTACAGCTGTTCCCCTAAGCTGTGGGAAAGGATGCTGTCCCATTGCCAGTGTCGAAGAAAGCATGAACTATTAGTCCAGTTACCCTTTTTTCACAGAATGGGAAAGGACGGCATCTCCTTTGTCTAGGGGAGCCAGATGTCTTGGAACAACACTGGCTTTTCCTTTCCAGCTCTTACAAGAACAAGTATTAGCAAAGATATAAAGATGATCACCACACCACCCCAAGAATAGAAAAAGCCTGAGTGCCTGGGTTCTCACAGAGCAACTGAGGATAGTGAACCGAAAGCCTTTTACAGTCCTGATAACACTCAGCGGGGCGAGAGTCAAGAAAAGAGGGCCAGATGCAGAGTGAATGTGAACTGTGAGGGCTTCTGGTGAAGCCATTACGTCTCTGATCACTTCGAAGTGTTCTGATGCTCTCTGCTTCTGCTCTGCCTAAAATTTAGTCTAAAGGCTGGGAATGTTATGTGAAAAAGCTGTTTATAGAAATATGAGATAACAAAGCCGAGTGGGCAAGTCCAGGCTATCTTCCATTCCCAGTTGATTTCACCCTCCCTCTTCCGGCTCGTTGGAGCTGGGATCTGTCTCTGCCCACAGCCTCATCTTCACCTTACCTCATGCCCCCTGCCTCCTCCTTTCCTTCTTTCCGCTTGTCTCAATGTAAGACAAAAAGAATGCCTT